TTTTTTTTTTTTTTATGTTCCCCAGGGGGTAGCTTTTCGACCAGTCCACAACTATTTGAAAGTTAAAAGTGGGCGTCTAGGAAAATGATGGCCTATTTGCTAACTCGGAAAAAATTAACACGGGTAGGCGATGTACGTAAACTGGCGCGTAAATCCCGAATGGATATAAAAGCGCCCATGTCGTCTGCAACACCAAGTTCACAGACAAAGGACAGTTCGTCTTACACAACGATGAGCTACATGGTGCGCATACCACGTCATATGCACATCATGTCGTGCGTACAAAAATTAAATTACAAGTTGTACGTTACCTCATTTTTTATAATTCGAAAGGAACGAAATGGGGAACACGGATTTAATAAGTGCTTCTCCCCTTCGTACTTGTAGGCCCAAATTGCAAAAAGGGAAACGGCAAAAAGAATTCACAACTACTTTTAAACAAAATACAGTCTGGGAAATCCCCACTGGATCGCAGAAAAATTCGATTTTTTTTGTTGTACACCATTTTGCGAACAAATAAAGTGAATTTTTACGCCCTTGGTACATTAACAAACGGGGTTTTATTGAATCCCCATTTTACGCAATGCATGTGTGCACAAAGACAGATGCTCGTTTTCAGGTCAGTTTCTACATATATCCATATGTCGTCTTTATCCGTCAGAGAAAAGAACTCGTTTTGCATGTTCGATTTGATAGAAGGTATTTACTAAATTATATTCCCATGGTGACAAAATACTTAGCCGTGCGACACGGCACAACCTGTGTTGTAACTGCCGAGGATTGTAACTAATGTGTTACTTACTCAACTGTGAAAGGGCAGTTGTTGCAGTTGCCACAGCTAAACGTAATTCTCCTTATCATTTGTGGAGGACAAAGGGTTACAGGTTATAAACTTATCCAAGAGTAACATAAATTGGGTGCATTTTCAAACTGGAGAAAAAAAAGAAAGAAAAAGTTGGCACGTTTTTCTCACCTTCATAGAACAGCACATATTTTGCGCATCCATTTTGTTCGCGATGTTGGGACAACATATTGCAGAGTCGGCCGTTTCCTCCTACATTCGCACAATGGACATGTTATAGCTATTGCAGGTTACCTTAATTCATTTCCCTTTTCCACTTTCTCATGTCGAGTGGCAAGACCAGCTAACCACTTTTCTGCCCAAAGGACCTCGTTCACCCGCTCATGGCGCAGGCATGTACTTTTTACACTATTTCAAAATGATTATATATATTTTAATATAATATTAATTTTTTTTATTTTGGAACTGTCTCATAGAAAAAAAAACGTTTTGCTTATAGCACACATATTTTAATAAAACAAGAAAAACAGGCGAAATATCATGGGGGAGCGAAAAAATTTTTAAAACAAAAATGGAACTTTAAAAATAAAGCGAAATAAAACATTACTCAAGAAAGTTGAGACAAATAATTGGTACTTAATATAAAAAAAAAAGGTGCGAAAAAAAAATAGGCAGAGGAAGAAAACCAAGTGCAGGCAAAAAAAAAAAAAAAAAAAAAAAACTTACGCATGTGTTATACAAATATATACGAATATATACAAATATATAAAAACATACATAATACATGTATAACATTCTTAATTATATGCTTATTATGGAAAAGAAGAAAAAAAAAATGGTATACTTTCCTATTGTCTACATATTACACACGTTATGTATGATATATGTCACATGCCTTATTACATACATATGGGGGTACACATATATAACTTTTACACCGGGAAAAGTGTAGGGGTGAGGACGGGTGCTCACGCGGGAACCTGAACTGATATCCACGCGGACACTCCTCAAAAAATATATATATGTAAAAAAAAAAAAAAAAAACAGATAACTCTTGCTACTTATGGACGAATTGACACATTTAAAATAAGAGACATTTCATTCGATTGCTTCGTTTGGGGGAAAACCACAACGGTCGAAAACTTATGCTGCTGCGGGGATGGGGGCAAACGCTTATGCTGGATTCATATACCGAGGCGCGCGCAGGCGCACATGGCGGGCACAACTTGCATCGTGTGACTTATTTTCCTCTTCACATGCTTTTTCATCCGCTTCCTCGTCCGGTGCTTCCGTGCGCTAATGTGTATATATACATGTACACATATATGCGCGGTACGGCCTTCCTCTGACCATTTTGGAAATTCACCAATGCCAAAATCTGTCACAGTGTCCCATACACTTTTAAATATAATAACTTAATGCTGCTCGTTCAAATGGAACAAGTATTTTCTGGCGTACGTGTCTACGACAATTCATTGTGATTTGTCCTGCACAGTTTCGCTAGCATGATCGGCTCGTCAAAGTATTTGCTGTTCCCGCATTTGCTCTTTCTCGCGTTATAAAAATGCATACGTGTCAGTGTACACAGTCAGTGTATTGTCCACACATTTGTGTACACATGGGCGCGCGCCCGTTGGGGGGGGAAGCCTTTTAACACATTGTCCATAATATATATATATTTCCCTCCCCCCATTGGTTCTTCATTTTGTTCCCTTCTTAACTTCGCCCTCTTTAGTAGTCGAAGATTTCTACGTTTTGCATAATTTTCGAAGCTGTTGTGTTCAGCTCATCTTCTGGGTAATTCCAAAAGTTGGAACAGCTAATCAGTGAATTGTTGTTCAACCTGTAAATATTTTTTACGTCTCCATTTACGTCGTACTTGTTCATTCTATTTTCATCATTCTGCGCGTTGGGCATATTGCCGGTGTGTACGAAATGTTCAGGTAAATGGGTGCCAGGTACCACCACTTCCATATTCTTGGGCTGTTGCTTTGGGTGGTTGCTACCGTTCTTTACCACTGCCCCGGGGTTATACTGCTGTGCGTGTTGCGCATGTTGCGGTAGCTGTGAGTGCTGCAAATGTTGCGCGTGATGAGGATGATGAGGTGGCTGAGGCTGATGTGGTTGATGCGGTTGATGCGGTTGATGTGGCTGATGCGATTGCTGCTCATGCATGAGGTGAGTACTATTCTTCATCTCGTCATTCAGCAAAAAGCTATCCTCCTTGTAATTGCTCGTGTTCGTCATTTGCAACAACTTTAGAAAATTCTTAATATCGGCCAAATTCAACTTTTCGTTGTCATCCTCGATAACTTTAAGTGCACTATCCTGCGCTGTAATTTCCATGTGCTCAATTGTTTCAACTATTTTTTTCTCCTCATTATTTGCTGTATACTCCTTTGAAGAATTGCTCGATATTCTCATGGACGCGGATGAATCTTTACTTTGGTATGAGGGATACTTGTTCAAAACATTATTCTTCTTTCCCTTATTTATATTGTAGTATTGAGTGCTGCTTATGCTGTTCGGGATGTTCGTCATGTTGGTCATATTGCTCATATTGCTCATATTGCTCATGTTGCTCATGTTCGCCTTGCCACTGGAGAGGTTCGAAATGACGGACATGTTGTTCACCATGCCGCTGCTCATATTGTTAGTCATAGCACTACCGCGACTGGTCATACTGCCACCTAGGTTTTTCATACCGCTACCCAGGCTGGTGGCCACACTCCCTCCGTGCATGCTCCCATTAATCGATCGATTCATGTTCATGTCTTGATTCAACAATTCGTTGATCGACTTAAAGGCTCCATTTGATTCGTTCGAGCCGCTACACATATTCTGCAACTTCCTTAAATTGAAGGAATTTATAAGCCCATTTGCGCTCTCCATGTCATTGTTGTTCAGCATGTAATTCTTCATGTTCATGCTGTTCATTGCGGTATTGTAATCCTCGCTGTTCTCTTTGTTTTTTAGCAGCGCATACAGATTGTTTGGGTAGGAAGAGCTCTTCTGGTAGTTCTTGTTCACGTTGACGGGGTTACTACTCATGGTGTTGTTCATCCCGTTATTCATGCAACCGTTCATGCAGCTGTTCATTGCGTTGTTCATCGTGTTGTTCATTCCGCTGCTCATTCCGCAGTTGTTCATACAGCCGTTCATACAATTATTCATCGCATTGGTCACTTTGTTATTATTCATATTGTTCTTCAAATTGCGACCCATGCCACGGGTGATGCTTCCGTTCATGTGGTTGTTCAAATGGCTGTTCACGTGGCTGCTACTCAAATTATTGCTCATGTTGCTCGTCACATTGGTGCTCAGGTTGCTGCTCAAGTTACTGTTCAGGTTGCTACTCATGTTGCTGCTCATGTTACTGCTCAGGTTATTCTTCATATTATTGCTCACACTGCAGTTCATCATGCCGCTGCTCACGTTGCAATTTCCACTTGCATTATTCACGCTGCTGCTAATATTATTTTCCTGCGCGTTTTTCTTCTCAAAACTTTTGCTATATCGGTTATTGTTCGTTCCGCTTTGGTTAGGGAATTTGCAAAGTAACGAGTTCGTCGGCTTCAATATGTTTTCGCTGTTCCTGTTCTCCTCTGTGATGTATCCACTGCTTCCGCTGTGGTTGTGGCCGTTGTGCCCGTTGTGGTTGTTATGGTTGCCGTGGTTGCTGTCGTTGTTGTGGCTGTTGTGATTTCTGTGGTTGCTGTGGTTGTGATTGTTGTGGTGGTTGTGGGTGTTGTTGCTGCTGTTGCTGCCACCGTTTCCCGTATTTGCGCTATTTCCGTTGTTCTTATTCTTGCTGCCCTTTTGAGTCGAACCGGCCAGTGGGGCGGCGAGCATGAGGTTGATGGCATTTTGAGAGGGGGACAAATTTCCAGGCAGGGGACGCAATTCCTCAATATAGTGCGCATGTCTGCAATGCGATTCAGCGTTACATTTTCCTCTCAAAAACTTTGTACATGGAGCGGTTTTGTATAAATCTCCAGTAGGCCTCAACTCACAAACCGAATGAGCATAACTGCATTTTTCATTCTTGCATACTCCTGCCTTTTTCGCCAAGGGACATAAACTAGTAAAGGATAAATCAGGAATTGGATTTAACTCTTCTTGTGAATGTGCAAATAAACAGTCTACGCCTCTATCACACCTCCCTGAGAAAAACCAGGGGCACATCTTTGTTTTGTAAAATTGCTTCTTTCGTGGAATTTGGGTCACCACCAATGAGGACTGTTGTTGTCCTTGGGTGCTATTGTTCACGTTTTTGCTGTTCATCATGCTCGGTTATACATATATAGACAAATAACAAATATGGATTAATGGGCTGTGCTAGATCTACCAGTGCTACTCTCTTTAGTGAATCGAACTGCGGATATATGCTCGCACCGGAAGCAATTTCGTCGCTTCGTGAAACAGACTCTTCAGCAGCCGCCAAATATGCACTTCTGGTAAGATGGACAATATGCTCTATGAAAAGATTTAGCTATCCTCTGTTGCCCTCTCGCTAAAGCGAAAAAAACTTCTTCTATTAACGTATTACCTCCGCGGGAAGAAAAAAAAAAAATAACAGTGTAACTTCCACACGTATTTCGTTTCGAGTAATAAAACGGAATATATAGCTGTGCTGTAAAATGTACGTTCGATTACACGGATAATACACTTGTGCTATTTTTATTTGTACTTTCCTGAAGATGCAAATAATAAATGATGATTGCGCTCTGTGTCTTTTCTTCCCTTTCGTGTTACTTTGAATTATGCCTCTTTTTTGCCATCAATAAAATTTACTAAGGTTGCTTGCCTCTCTACGTTTATATATATATAAATATATATGTCTGAACACACAGCTCGTCCGTATGGGTCAAGATAACCGTTAACGGATGCTAACTGCAAAAAATGCGCGTGTGCTGTGTTCTTGCATACGATAAAATATTACGTTCATATATTACGCATTATGTAAATGCTGTGTAAAATAGGAAGCGATCCGAGAGAAATGGACACAAAGGATTTTCTCACATATAAAATGGGGGACAACACCTTTCTTGGCTTGGCCGAGTATATAAAAATAAAGGCCTATACCCACTACGTCCGTACAGTAAATATGTATATATATATTTTTTTTTTTTTCAAGTAATCTATATATCACGTGTAGCTAATTTTTTGGGGGGTCATATTCTGCACATTCACCTGCTGTGGTCTGTACTATATGGCGCTTTTGAAATGAGGCAAATAAGGCGAGTGAAAAAAAAAAAAAAAGTGTAACTGTAAAAACTCTGCGTCTCAAATTCTTCTTGCGTTAGCTTATCAGAAGAAGTACTCTCTATTCTGGCAAATTTGGGTTGTGTACAATTTCAGTATTCTCTTAAGATTCTTCGTAATCCGCAATGTACTCTTGATCTTATTTTATTATATTTCAATTTATCTTATTTTATTATTTTTTTTTTTTAATAATGCAATTATATTTAAACAATTACAATTGAAACATAAAAAATGAGAGCAAAAAAAAAAAAAAAAAAAGGTACGGTTTTACATACGCGAGCACATGAGTATATCATGTGCTGGCACATATACACAATTGTTTATGTAAATGTGCGTTCACACATGTACATATATATATATATGAAACGCTGTAAAAGAAATGGGGTAATAAAATAACCGGCCAACTGGTCAGCAACTGGGGCATACGCACGACAATGTGTGTAAGGGCTGGGAAAAAAGGTGTTCAAGAACGGTGGGCAAAGTGGCGAGTACACGTTAAAGAAGGGTACATATTAGGTATGCGCTGTGTATGTGCGCGTGTATATGCTCGAACTTAAAAAATGCGTAAGTTGCATTAAATTGCGAATAACGCGTGTGTGAAAAAATAACTGGGTGATAAATCATTAAACTTTATACACTGAAGCAATATTGCATCACATAAAAAAAAAAAAAACGAAGGGGAGAAATGAATATCTTGTAAAATTACGAAGCTAATAAAGTGTGGGAAAAAAAGAAATGGTAAAAAAATTAAATATCCCTCACAGAAATTTTCAAAATAAGGTAGATGTTACATATATACACATGTGTAAAATAATAAAAAAAAAATTCACCCTATTCGTTCTTCAAATAAACTCATAAAAAAAAAAAAAAAGCACATAAAAAAGCAAAATGAGCAATTGGGACAAAAGTCGATTGGGCTTTTTAAATTTACTAACTGCTAACTGGTTTTGCTTTTACTTTTTCCAATGGCTCATTCGCTAACTGCTCACGCGCTAATCGCCTATTCGCTAATTCCCAGTGTGCCAATTTCTTTGAATTCTCTAACTGGGCTATTTTGGTAAACAAAGACAACTTTGGAAAAAGCAAAATGATGAAATACAAAAAGGCAAAAGAATGGAATAAAGGAAGTAAAAAAAAAAATATATTTTTTTTTTTTATCACGATAATTATCAGATGTAATACAAATACGGCAAAATGTGGTTCGAAAAAAAAAAAGAAAAAAAAAAGGGGGGGGTATAAAGGAACAATATGTCGAAATTATAGGCAGATGAGAAGTGTAGGGATAAAATTATGCACAATAAACACACTAACGCTATGCTAAAAAGCTAATACAATACTAAATACGAATACTTTATATATAGGACTATACGCTGCATATATATAAATTGGTACACAAACATTTGCTCATTATTTTCTTATATGTGTATACACAAACGCACATGTGAGCATACGTATGGGCATACTTTAAATAAACACATTCGAGCAAATATGCATTACTTACGTGCATGTATGTTCATGCATGTGTTCTTACATATGTACATCACCAAACGAGAAATAGCATTAGCATATGTCCGTGATCATATGCTTGTTTCTCTCACACAGTTCAGTGAGTGCTAAAAAAAAAAAAAACAGGGGATGAGCGCGGTCGAAAATGCATAAAAAAAAAAAAAAAAAGTGCTTACACGAGCGGTGTGAGTATATAAATATGCACATATCTAGTGTATATATATAGTGTAATATATATATATATATGTACACATGCGTATGCGCACTATACAAATACACTCGCGTCAAGTAAACTCAAACTAGTGGTCCCCCGTCAAAAAAAAAAAAAAAAAGGGCACGTTTCACGGGCGGCACATAACTCGGGTTAAAATAAAATTAAAAGCTCAAGGATGGGGGGAAAACAAAAATGATGAAAAATTAAGTAAATATTTCAATGGAATTAAAATAAACCCTTAAATAGAAAAGCAAAACGAACAATTGTTGCGAAAACACAAAGGCGAACTGTCAAGCAAACAAGTGCTTCAAAAATATGCAAAGAAAGTTGTACAAAAAGGATGCGTATCTATGTGCACATAAGCATATATCATGGTACATATATATATATATATATATACATACGCATACATACAGGTACACATGAAAACGTAAAAAAAAAAAAAAAAGAATATTATCTTTCCTATTTGTTACCAATGTAGCAGTAATGTAATGATAGCTCACAGGTACACACTACATGGGAGTAGCTGGTGGGCGCACACGCAACAAAAGCAGCGATATCCGTATGCAAATATGTACTATACATATGCACATACATATACAAATACACACTTGCTTAAACGCAGGGCGAAATGTTTAATTACAAATATGCACACTGTAGTTTTGGGAATACGCACAATGGCATACGGAGTGTATGTACCATTCAAATGTGTTTCCAAAAAAGGTTCTGAACAAGGGTTCTGAAAAATGGTACTGAAAAATGAAACTGAAAAATGAAACTGAAAAATGGGACTGAAAAATGGTTCTGTTCAAAAAGCTCTGCTTGTTTATACGTCATATAGGTACATGTATATGCCCGCTCAGAGATTGTTCAGTTTGGGATAAGCGCGCATAAGTTTTATGTACATATACACGTGGGCAAGAATGCAGTATGCTACGTCCCCCCTCTCTGTGTCGCTAGAGTATGCCTTTCCATATAAAGATAAAAAAATATATATTGCTTTTTTGCAAAAGGATGTGGGAGCCGCGAGGGCAACACGATGAAATAAAAAAAGCAATTACACTCAAACGGTCGAACGGTTGGGTCTGGGTGAAACAGCGAAAAAAGAACACAAATAACATAACGTAAAAAAAGGGGGCATGGGGGAAATCATAAAAACGCATATAAGTTTCTTAAATATATATTAAAATATTTAAGTCGCCTGTTAAAAAACGCATTGACGTATTAAAATATGTACTTGCGTACTTAACTACGTACTCCGCGCTTAAGGTGTGCTAAATATGCATTCACATATATATATTATATATATGTACAGGCTAAGAGAAATGTATTTTTGGTTCCTCAACTATTCACTTTGTTTATTTTTTTAACCTTACATATAAATGCAACATATCTGGGTACTTTTCTCTAGGCTTTCTGAAAATATGCTTAACCATTTCATACAAAATAAAAACATGAATATATATAAAACGAAACTTAAGCAAAGGAACAAAGGATACTCGCGTTTCGGTAAATTTATAAAAAATATTACCTTGGGAAAATGTTTCTTAATTTTAATAAGAAAAAAAAAAAAAAAATATGAAAGAAGCAATGAATATAAAAAACAACAGGAAAATAAATTCTTAATATATTTCGCGTTAAAGAAATTTACATTGAAATTGTTTCTATTCATGTTATATATATATATATATATGTATAACATTTAATTTGCGAGAAAAAAAAAAGAAATAAAAAAAGGCGTAAATATAATGTACAACGGGCTGTCAAATTAAATGAAAAAATATTATACATAAATGAAAATACATTGCTTTTTTTTTGTATTATTGCTTTATCCCGCATTAATCATACCATACGGTACAAATAATAATATGTATACAAAAATAATGTAGTACAGTGGTGACCACGAAAAATGTTTAATACTATTAAACATATACGTAAAATAATACAACCGTTTACAATTCTTTCGTCATGGGTCATATAATCTTCATTGCACTACATAAGTATATATACGCGTAACGAGCACAAAAAATGAGAGAAATTTCTTAAATTAAAACATGGTAAGAATAATGAAAAGGAAAAATATATATATATATATGTACCATAAGTAAAAAGCTTACTACAGAATATTTTAAAACAAATATATCTGCTTACTTTTTATGTACTATTTTGCATACAAAATTAAAATACATACATAATAAATTACAGACAAATTTTCTTGTTCTCATAAAATGTTGTTGTTTGCCCTCGTTCAAGACACCAAAGAAAATGCAAATTTGAAAGGCAAATTTTTTGTGGCGCAATAATGCGGGATAAATTATTTCATAGGGTGCGGCAAATTTAAGCAAATGGGTTTTATATGGGAGCAAAAATTGAGAGGCAAATTTTGTGCGCAGATTTGCACGGCAATTTTTTGTATGACAAATATGTGCGGTAAAATTTATCGGCAAACTCGTCATGCAAATTCCGTTGTGCAAACTGGTCAAATAAATTATAACAAATGAAAGCAAAATGAAAACTCCTAAAAATAAATCACATCAACAAGCCTTACAAATATGCACGATAAATGAATTTCGTTTCCCGCTCTATTTTGTAATTCACCGCAAGTATATATTTCACAAAGACGCACAAAGAAATAAAACTGCGATGTACTTTGCAAAGGAAGTACACGCAAAGTGTCTCGTATTATATTATTTCTTATATTCCACACGTGTGCGTATTTTAAACATATAATATTTCATACATGCAGGAGCAGGTCGCGTTTTCACCTATATATGCAATTATGCACGGACAACTCTGGTAAATATTTTTTCCTCCATATAATAATATATTATATCTATATATATATAATACGACATTTACAGGGATCCTCCATAATTCGAACGGTATGCATATATTAAACCATGTAGCAAATAAATATATTAATATGCATAGGAATTACATTTATTGTACATACATGGTATAATAATAGCATGCCATATAAAATATTCTTTCACTATATAGAAAATGAAAACGAAAGAGAAAGAGACATATACACTATATATATGTATATAGATGCATACAAATGTGGGAAAAATGTATAATATGATTATAATAAAAAAGCGACGAAGATGTTATAAAATAATGTAATAAAATGCAAAATGAGGTTAAATTTTGAAATAAATAAAAATGAAAAAAACAGCTCTGCAGGGTTTAGTTAAATTTCTTTTCTCTTTTTTTTATTTTTCTGATGCAAATTAGTGAAAAGAAGAAAATATATTATTTGGTCGTATTTAATTTTTTTTTTCTTTCCTATTTTATTTTTAAACTATAACAAACGTTTTTTTTGAGTTTATATATATATTTTTTGTAGTCCCCTGTACGCATGTTTATTTTTTTATTTTTATTTATATATATATATATTTTTTTTTTTTTTATTCTCTAGTACTCCATTTTAAGGAAAATTCCAGGCGCTGTTTCAATTTAACTTTTTCTCATTAGCTGATTAATTTTTTTTTTTTTTCATTTTTAAGAAAAGGAACAAAATAAAATTTAGTATCGTATATTTTTTCTATAAACTTGTTTATTGGTTAATTGGAAAATTTAAGCATCTCTTGCAAAGTACGGGAAATCGCGAAAAAAAACTGCGGAAATTCATTCATTAAACATTTCTTGAGAAATTGCGTCAAAGTTGGAGCAAAGCTGCAGCTGAAATGCGGAAAATCTAGAGAAGGATTTTCTGCGTACATGATTAATGGGGGAAAAAAAAAATAAATAAACAGACATGTATAAAAAAGGCGCGGTGTGAAGTTTGTAATGATATGAATGAAGCGGCGGTTGTTCTTCCTGCCCCTCGTGCGTTTAATCGCTCCAGCGCACGTCCAGGGGACTTATATGAATTATATATATATATGCTGCGAATTTTACATGTATTTCGCTAAATCGAATTTTAAATAGCTAATTTGAGCATTGAAAATGTTTTCATTGAGACATATGCCTCTTGCATTTTTTCACGACACATTCATTATTGCATATATAACAATGCGTAGACAGTGTTTTTTTTTTTTTTTTTTACTGTCCTTTCCGTGCTTAGGACATCTTTCTTGTGGAACACACGGCACTGTCTCCGCTTTGGTCGCTGCGTGTACATTTCGTATTCATCGAAGGGGATATAAAGTATAAAGCAGAAGGTTTTTTTTGCTTTCGTGCATATTTTATTTTTTTTTAATGTTCTCGTCGCAGCATGACTCCCAATTGTCATCAACTATAATATACGAAAAAATTAAACAGCGCAGGTTTATCCATTTTTAACGGGGCGAAAAAGGTGTAACATGTGGCCTCAAAATGGTACACGCACAGATGGCCATAAATAGTATCCCCATTTTTTAACTCCAAGTGGAAGGCGTAAGTACAATTTAGTGGTAGGTGATAGTACCCACGTTCTCCGCCGTCACTACATAACCCAGTTAAAATTGTATGCCCCTAAAAATCGGGTAAATATGCAACGTATATGACTCCTTCCCCGCACGTGCAAATTAACTTTGCATTCGTTTTTCCACCCCAACCGGTATATTGACGCTTCATTAAAAGGAATGGGCATAATTACAACTGTTCTTTCATTTTGGTTGCCCTCCAAGCGTCTAACATATTATGCGTTCTCATCAGCTTAGACATCTTGCCTTATGTCGCGTACCCCTCTGCGTCATGCTCCTTTGCTGTCGTCGCGTTCGTGGCTTTCCACTCCTTTGGTTTGTTATGGGTATCTTCCACCCCACGTTTGATGTACTTGTGTTGTACCTTAGAGGAAGCGAACAAAAAAGTTGACATGTTCAATTGTGCAAATTGGTAGCAGCCAAACGGGAAGGAACAAACGAAGGGGACCCACATATGTGTGTATTCTACTTGGCCGAAATGCCCATACATGTGTACTAGTCAGCCAACCTGCTACTACTATGAGTTGGTGAATAGCCCCTTTTAATTTGATTAACTTGTACAAACGCGTGAGGGGTGTAGCGTTCACATAGGCTAATAAGGACAATTGCAAAAAAATAAAAATAATAATAAAAATAGGCGTCTTTCTCTGTGTTCATAAACGCTGGAGAGTTTACTCAGAAAAGGCAATTGTGCTGTGCCCATTTGTATCTGTTAACCTTTAAAAAATGAGTTGCATAATAAATCGAGATGCCAACGAAAATATATGGCGCAACGGGAAAATGCATATATTGGTCACTCCACAAAAAATGGGAAAATAAGGAAACAAATCCGGGTATAAAAAAAAAAAAAAAAAAAAAAGGGAACCGACTAGGCGCATAAATAAGCCAAGCATCCCAAATGATCAGCGCGAGGGTGCTAACCCACCGTAGCCAATTCGAATTGCCCAACGGCGCCTTCTCTTGCGGTGCACACGTACGGGCTCTGGTCGAACTATGTCAAAACGGGAGAAAGGTCCACTTGGGGGGTTGTGCTTCCATATAGATGGAAGGGAACTCCCCAGTTAAAGGTGGTCGAATACCACTTCTTCACTGCGAGGTGTTCTCTGCAGCAGGCTGCTTATTTTTTTTCTTGCCCTTCGTGTAGACCCTCTCATCGCAAGGATTGAAGCCCCGTTCTTCTGCACCTATGACAGCCCAGGAGGGGGTCTCGACACAGTAGTCAGCGGCGGTAAAATCTTTATTCTGCCTAACCAAACGTTGAAACATTTCATAATCAATCCATGTGTGCCATTTATCATTAATTTTGAATTCCTTTTTTGCTATTAAAATGCTGCAAGAGTGCCTATGCTCACAGGCAATTTCATACGAGTCGGAAAGGTACCCATTAGAGTTTATTAAACTGGAAGCAAATTGGTACACTTCTTCATGCCATGGAATGTTTTTCATAGTAAGTTGATAACCATCGGAGGAACCACAATATGTTACGGCTTTTATTTCAATAAAATCTGGGTAGCCATATTCTACCAATTTAGAATAACTTAAAATTTCTTCAGACATCATATTGTATTCTTTCACTAGGGTAAATCTAAATACCGTTCTTTCTTTTCTCTTCTTTAATATCTTAATGCACCGTATGTATCGGTCCCAGAAATCTTTAAATAATGGTCTGTCTATATTCTTCAAAGCTTCTTCATTAGGAGCATCAATTGAAAGGTAAAGTTGTGTCACTTTGTGTAATTTTTGCAACTCATTTGGGAACTGCGCATTCGTAACCAGGAAGGTTGAAACATTTTTACGATGCAGTTCATCAATCATTTTGTTAATATCTGGGTACATGATTGGTTCCCCTACTAGGGACAGGGCACAATGTCTAACATTGACTGCTTCATCAAATCTTTCTTTAATAACTCCATGTGCTCCTTTCAATTCTTTAATCATCCCTTTATGTTTTTTAAGTGCTTCCTCTACTATCATTTCTGCGTCATCTTTATTCCATTTCCACTGAGTCCCTACTGGGTTTTTGTGATGCCTCCAACAGAAAACGCATTTATTAGCACAAGCTAGACTTGGCGTAGCTTCCATACATTGGTAAGAATTGATCCCATAAAAGGTATGTTTGTAGCATCCTCCGCGACCTCTTAATTGAGATTTAGTCCATCTGCATAACTTTACTGCACTGTGGGAACCTATAATTTTATATCCTTCCTTCGTTAGCTTATCTCGTTGGTTAGATGTAAGCATATCTTTGGGTTTGTCCGGGATGAGGTCCTCCATCTCATCACCGCTACTGCAGAGTGATATACTTTTTTTCACATCTTCCCTTTTTTTTATGCCATAATTGAGTGCATCTTTTTCTTCCATTTCATCTTCGCTGTTTTTCGCGGTTGGAACTTGTTCCCATTGATCACCATTGGGGGGGGTGCACCCGTGCTGGGTGCCTTCCCCACAAGTACTGCACGAAGCGTTGGTACAAGGATCCCCCTTAGGAGGATTCCCCATGGAAGGATCACTCGCTTGAGTACTCTCCCCCTTCTGATCAGCCACATGGCTATGCTGTCCCCCCTCCTGTGGCACCTCAATCGACGCCCCTTCACATCTCCCCTTCCTATTATCCGCCTTTGAGCAAAAAAAGAAGCAATAATGCTTCAGGGAATTGTAAATCTTCCTGTCTGCATACGGCATGAAGTATCCTAACTGGGGAAAATTAATACAGTAGAAAAGCAGACTCAAACTGATCGTTTTAAATAAGCTGCATTTCCACACAAGAAACAATTCTTCGTTATCTTCCTCATCACACAATTTTAAAGTCTTAAATAATTTTTGCGCACCCAAGTAGGACAGATACTTGTCGCACTTCTTAACAGGTGCGCAGAAGTGAGTACTGCCGTAATGTTTGTTGCCAAACCCTATACAAGTATAAAAAATATTTTTTAAAAAATCTTTTTCAACTCGAAAATCATTAAATAGATCTTCCAACAGTTGTTCAAATTTGTAGCAATTCCTGGGGAAAGAACCATTGCTAGCTGTACTCACAAATACTAGCATCAAATTTAAATCATATTCACTGGTGCGTTCAAAGAATGTATAATCGTTGAACTCATTCCCATTGACAAAATCGAAATTGACTGTGCAGACATTAGTGCTTATGCAACAGTCTAGATAGTTCACAAATTTATCGCTACATTTTTTTTCCTTTTCTTGAAACTGCTGTAAACCTTCATGTGTACCATTTACCCCCCCTGCAAGGAATGAGTCCTTTTTGCCACTCCTTGCAGTTTCTTCATTCCTTCTTTGTAACAATTTGGAATACTCTTTAAAATATTTCACCAATCTGTCATCTGCATGACCCACTTCGTTTGTCCTTGCGTTGAACATGTGGTGGCTCCCTCCTTCCTCCGTTATTATTCTGTTTATTTCGTTACATATATTTTCTATGTCTTTAAAAAATTGTATCAAGTCGTTCAGAAACACTTTCGCTTTTTTGTAGCTGTTGGACCCTTCCGATCCGTATACTATTCTTAGATTGATATTTGCCTTTTTTCTTTTCCTAACCGCGTGCTGCTCAAAAATGGTTTGGAAGAAGTTCCTCCGTTTGTTTGCCTCGCCCCCCTTCACCATTTGGTCGCGCGTTCGTAATGGGGTCAGGTAGGGGCGCTTATGTAGTCTGCCCCCCTACTTGCTTATCTCCGCGATTGGCTCAGACGGCAGACTTGGGTATAGTCTGCCCCCTACCGCTTAGCTGCTCGGTTGAGTGTATTCTTCACGTCAACTTTCTTTAAAAGATGCGAGACTTATTCCACAAAGATCGAAACAGAAAAAAAAAAAAATAAAAAATAAAATAAATTGCAAAGGAACTCCGCTTCGTCCTTACCGCAATTTCGAATATGTCGTCGACAACGGGGCGTGAAAAAATCACAAAATGAGGTTCCCCGTCGCCCGTGTTATGCGCTCTTCGTGCTACTTATTTTATATTAAAACAGGGGGCAGTTAATTTTGTTTTGCACTTTCGGGTGCGTTCACCATAGGGTTTAACATATGTCAGGCAAATTTATTTTATTTTGTTTTATTCTGTTTAATTTTCTTTTTATGTTTTTTTATTTTTTTTTTTTCCCAGGTGTTCCTGCGGATCGTGTTTTTCTCACGGTGCCCCGCCGACCGCGACTGGGCAGCACAAATGCATATATGCATCTTGTGGACACAAAAAAGAAACAAAAAAAAAAAAAAAAAATGTAGTGAATAGATGGACAGCATGCGTAAAATAAAAGTTCGCGTCACGCGCATTGATGCAGAAGTGAAACGTAGAAAAAGGGAGCTGCATCAAAGCGCAAGAGCGTTCACCTTGGGGAGGAAAAAAAAATCATCATGCCGATGATGATAATGATGATAATGATAGTAATGATAGCAATGGTGAGGCTAAATAAATAAACGAAATAAGCTACAAACTGGTGGTATAAGCAACAAAGATAGGGCCGTAGTGGCTAAGTCCAAATTGGACGGGGTAAAAAAGAGACTTGTCCCCCACGTCTGGTGGCATTCGTCGAGGAATTCATGTTGCTGATATGGTTTATATCTACAATAAAAATATGTCACCATTCTTGCTGTCCATACAAATATATGTATGTACACATGTGGGTATATTTTCTGTCCGGGGGAAGCGAAGGGTCCGAAATCTGAGAAGCTCACGGTAACAAGTGCTTGTACATATATATACGCTCCTGTATGGTCAGAAGGACAAACCGGCTCTGTGTCACCTTTCTCATTTTGCGGGTGTAAATTGCTTGCCTCTTTGCACTTAATGCGTATATCGAAATGAGAACTCCTTACCCATTGCGCATGGGCCCCCGGGTGCAACCCCTTGTGTTTCCCATGTAAGAATCGAGTATCTTTTTGAAGAAGCTATTTTTACTGGCAGGGGGAATGCGTCCACTTTTCTTTTTCCCCCTTTTCTGCATCATACCTGCATGAACCCTATTTTCATCCATACGTTTACGTGAATATCTTTTTCTTCTGTATGCAAAGGAGGGTTCCATTTCTTGGGCATAAGTATCGTCAGAATCATTTTCTTCATGTGGAGTGATGTATTGAAATGCGCCACCAGCTCCCATGTCATAAGTCAAAATGTATTTAATGGTCGAATTAACACTCTTAAAGCTTTTTCTACATTGTGGTTGTGACAAACAATCAAACATTTTCCCAGACAAAGGGCATACCAAATAACCCCACTCTATGTCCGATGAAATAGCTAGCTCACATTTATCATCACATATGTGATAATTCTTGCTTTCAGTGCATATGTACACATCACTCTTTGGAATATATTTAAATTCGCAATGTTTGAATGAACACATGTGTCCGCTTTCGTCTTCCTCTTCGGGTAAAGCCCTCTCCCTCAGTGTTATTTTGTCATTCGAAATTGATTCTTCTGCGATTCTGTTCATCACCTGGTCCTCGTTCATCATCTGCTTCCCGTTCATCGCGTGACGGGTGCAAGCCAATTGGCTCCCCTGGTTCTTCACCTCCCCTCCACAACGAGTGTGCTCACATAGGGATAACGTATCCTTACCATTCAATATCGTGTCATTACCGCTGTATGCAGGGGCCCCGTTAAAAAAACAATTCTGATTATCCCTCCTTCCTGTGTAATAAAGGGACACAGCTGAAGAACCACCTCCGTAATCCCTTCCATTCATCTCGTTGCCCCTCCTAAAATTATCGGGGTCGTACAAATGAGAAATATCAAATTGTCCAAAGGAGATGTCTCTCAAGGTAAGTAATGATGCCTCCATGTCTAAGAATTGTTCTTGTGCAGACTTTGGAAAGCAAACATATTTATTTTTTTTTTTCTCCTCATGTCTTATATAAAAGAGCTCCTTAAAGGGATCATTTTCTTTTCTGTTGATCATGTCATCTGCATATTCCCTTTCGTAGAAGCATTTCCACAAATCATTGTACTTCACTGCGCAATAGAATTCTTTGCACACGCAGTTTTTGTTTTTCACCACATCCTTGTACGTTAGGAACTTGAAAATTTCTTTTATGATGCCCGACGGTAGTTCGTTCATTGGGGGCGATTCGTTGGGCGGCACGAGTGGTACAATCGGTACAAGCGGTGTGGGCGATATGCTTGTTACATATGGCACATGTATAGCACCTACGGAGCTAGTACACCTCTGTGGGTATTCTTTTACGGCGTGCTTCTTCGCTTCCCTCGTTCGCCTTCTCGACTTGTGTGACAATCCTGCGGGCACATGATCACACATCAAAACGCTATGTTCACGCACGTGTGTATTCAATGGGTTATTTCAAAATGAGAAAGCAGCATGGAGTTGTGGGCGTTGCTCGTTAGCACAATTTTTCCTCGTCACAATGAGCGCGGTGTGTCGTACCATTCGATGCGATTTTCCTTTACATAAAACCCGGAGAAATTGCATTACGCGCCATTTAAACATGTCACCAGGGGTGAACTAACTTCCGAGGAGGAGAGGTCTTAAAACGTTTCATTTCATATCGTTTTTTTTTTTTTTTTTTTTTTTTGTTCGCCACATGGCTTCTC